CCAGCCGTTGGCATTTTCTCGGCCCACATTGGCGTTGTGCCGCAGCAGCACCCGCACCGACTCCAGGTGGCCCAGGGACACGGCGAGCTCCAGCGGGGTCCGGCCGCGGGGGTCCGTCAGCTCCACATCATGCTGTGGCCGCCAGCAGTGTCACTGCCACTGCCAGCCCCTGGGCACCTCCGGTCCCCCCCACCCGCTGCTCTTGCCCCAGTGCCGGCTCCTCCTGTGCTGGTTGCCAGCCCCACAGGGCTCCGGTGGGTCCCAGTCCTTCCATCACCCAGGCTTCCAGGGGTTCCTGGCTCTTCTGGCGGCCCCTGTCCCCTGACCCCCATTGCTCAGGCCCCCAAGTCCTCCTGGCCCCAAGTCACACCGTCCCAGTTCCCCCAGCACCTCCAGTGCTCCTACTGCCCCCAGATGCTCAGTCCCCCACTACTACCAGTCCTCCCAGTTCCCCTGTCCCAGTACCCTCAGTCCCTCCCAGTACTCCAATGCCCTGTTCTCCCAGCTGCCAAGTGCTCCCTGTCCCCATCTCGGTGTCCCAGCACCTCTGAGTGCTCCCGCTGTTCCCAGCATCCCAGTCCCCCAGTATCCCAGTGCTCCCAGTCTCCCTGTATGCCCAGTGCCCTTACCTCAGTGCCTCAAGACCCGCTCAGTACTCCCAATTACCAAGTACCCCAGTCTCCGATCCCTGTGCTCTCAGTCTCCCCCAGCTCCCTCAGTGTTCCCGGCTCCCTAGTCCCCCAGTTCCCTATCACAGTGCCCTCAGGCTCCCCCTTCCTCCCCTTCCCAGTGCTCACAGTCCCCAAATAATCCCACGCCCCCAGTGCCAGCTCTGCTCCCCCACCGTGCACAGTGTCCCCACTTCCCCTTTGCCCAGGGCTCCCCCCCGCACTCCCCGGTGTTCCCAGCTCCTGGTTCCCCCGTCATCTCCGGTTCCCTGCTCCTCTGTCTCCCCAGGCTCCCGGTTCCTTGCTCCTCCATCTCCCATGATTCCCATCTCCTCGGTCTCCTCCAGCGCCCGGGTTCCCCGACTCCCGGTTCCCCCGTCTCCCCCGGTTCCCATCTCCCTTTTCTCCCCCGGTTCCCGGTTCCCCCGTCTCTCCCGCGTCCCGGTGCCCACCCGGCCGGAGCGCAGGGCGCTGTCCAGCGCCTGGTGCCTGTTGTGCCAGACGAGGCGGTGCAGCGGGAAGGTGTCGGCGGAGCGGGCCATCCCGCCCGCATGTCCCCGGGCGGCGGAGCGGGCCGCAGCGCCGGGCCTGCCCGCAGC